TGTCTCTGCTTTTTAATATGCTGTCTAGGTTGGTCATAGTTCTTCTTCCAAGGAAGAAGCATTTTTTAATGTCATGGCTGCAGTCACCATCTGCAGCGATTTTGGAGCCCCCCAAAATAAAGTCTGCCACTGTTTCCCTATCTATTTGCCATGAAGTGATGGGACCGAATGCCATGATCTTAGTTTTCTGAATGTTGAGCTTTAAGCCAACTTTTTCTCTCTTCTCTTTCACTTTCATCAAGAGGCTCTTTAATTCCTCTTCACTTTCTGCCATAAGGGTGGTATCATCTGCATATCTGAGGTTATTGATATTTCTCCCGGCAATCTTGATTCCAGCTTGTGCTTTGTCCAGCCCAGCGTTTCTCATGATGTACTCTGCATAGAAGTTAAATAAGAAGGGTGAGAATATACAGCCTTGATGTACTCCTTTTCTACTGGATTAGGTGTTGTCTTTATAAGAAAAGGTACAGAGGAGGACATTCATGGATGGAGACAGAGGCTGGGTGATTTATCTACAAACGAAGAGACACCAAGGACTGCCAACCACCACCAGGGGTTGGAGAGAGTCCTGGAATGGATTCCCCTGAGGCCTAGACTCCTAGCCTCCAGAACTGAGAGATAATGAACTGTGGAAGCCTCTACTTTGTGAACTGGGTGAGGGCAGCCCAAGGAGGCGAACACAGGTGGTGAGCCATGTGCAGCCGTGAGCTATAGTTTGCTGGTCTAAACCAGCTACAGCCTTGTCCTAGGGCCAGAGGCTGGCAGGGATCAGCTTGGAGCCACCGACGGCTGCCACTGAGGAGAGGGAGGTAGCCAGGCCACGCCGGCCAGTCACGACTCCCTCCTCCTGGGCACGCACAGTGGCTGCCCAGACCTGGCTGTCCTGGGAAAGGCAAGCGTGAGGCAGGGTCAAGGCCACAGGAGGGAAGAGCTGAGAACGTGAATGGAACCTGGAGTCCACCCTCCTCAACAGGTGTTGGTTCAGTCCTTTGAGCAGCTTTTCTGAACCTGTAGGGGATGTTCAACTGTTATTGCATGAACCAGGGCTCCTCAGAGAAACAGACCAGTAGGTTCTGGGGCCCGAGTGTGACTCTCAGAGTGGGGCCCGCCATGGGAAGTGTCTGCATGAACAGAGAACAAGCTAAAAGGATGGGCCCTAACTTCAGAGGGGATGTGAGACTGACTGAGACAGAAAACTCAGGCGATGACCACAGATGCAAGGGCCAAGAGGACACTGAAAAGTCCTCTGATCAAATATTCTGGTTCAAAGGATTTGTCTGCCCAGAAGAAACTGTGACTGCAAGTTAGACAACAAGTACGGAGTTGGGATAAAGTGCCACTGCCCAGCAGGGGTCATAAAGCAGTGGCTGATGGTCTGGTAAGAGGATTAAACTCCATCAGCTCCATCCCTGCAATTGACCTCAGGCAACTGACCTGTGGCTTTGGCTAGTGGAATGTGGGAGTGATACCAGGGTGCTTGGCTTTCCCCTATCAACAGAGCCCAGGCAAGAAGTTCAGGCAAGGCTTTACTGGGGTCCCTGCTACAGCAGAGAGGAGTGAAAACAAACAAGTTCTCAAGAAAAAGAAATGCAAAAAAGCAAAATGGCTGTCTGAGGAGGCCATTTGTAAATAGCTGAGAAAAGAAGAGACGCTAAAGACCAAGGAGAAAAGGAAAGATAAACCCATCTGAATGCAGAGTTCCAAAGAATACCAAGGGGACATAAGAAAGCCTTCCTAAGTGATCAATGCAAAGAAATAGAAGAAAACAATAGAATGGGAAAGACTAGAGACCTCTTCGGGAAAATTAGAGGTGATGTACCAAGGGAACATTTTATGCCAACATGGGCACAATAAAGGACAGAAATGGTATGGACCTGACAGAAGCAGAAGATATTAAGAAGAGGTGGCAGGAATACACAGAAGAACTATACAAAAAAGATTTTAATGACCCAGATAACCATGATGGTATGATCACTCACCTAGAGCCAGACATTCTGGAGTCTGAAGTCAAGTGGGCCTTAGGAAGCATCACTATGAACAAAGCTAGTGGAGGTGATGGAATTCCAGTTGAGTTATTTCAAATCCTGAAAGATAACGCTGTTAAAGTGCTGCACTAATAGGCCAGCAAATTTGGAAAACTCAGCAGTGGCCGCAGGACTGGAAAAGGTCAGTTTTCGTTCCAAGCCCAAAGAAAGGCAATACCAGAGGATGCTCAAACTACCACACAATCACACTCATCTCAAATCTTAGCAAAGTAATGATCAAAATTCTCCTAGTGAGGCTTCAACAATACATGAACTGAGAACTTCCAGATGTTCAAGTTGGATTTAGAAAAGGCAGAAGAACCAGAGTTCAAATTGCCAACATCCATTGGATCATCCAAAAAGCAAGAGAGTTCCAGAAAAACATCTACTTCTGCTTTATTGACTATGCCAAAGTTTTTGACTGTGTGGATCATAACAAACTGGAAAATTCTTAAAGAGATGGGAATACCAGACCACATTACCTACTCTTGAAAAATCTGTATGCAGGTCAAGAGCAATAGTTAAAACCGGACATGGAACAATGGACTTGTTCCATATTGGGAAAAGAGTACGTCAAGGCTGTATATTGTCACCCTTCTATGCAGAATACATCATGTGAAATGCCGAACTGGATGAAGTAGAAGCTGGAATCAAGATTGTCTGGAGAAATATCAATAGCCTCAGATATGCAGATGACACCACCCTTATGGCAGAAAGTGAAGAGGAATTAAAGAGCCTCTTAATGAAAGTGAAAGAGGAGAGTGAAAAATCTGGCTTAAAACTCAACATTCAGAAAACTAAGATCTTGGCATTCGGTCCCATCCCTTCATGGCAAATAGATGGGTAAACATTGGAAACAGTGTCTGACTTTATTTTTCTGGGCTCCAAAATCACTGCAGATGGTGACTGCAGCCATGAAATTAAAGATGCTTGCTCCTTGGAAGAAAAGCAACGACCAACCTAGATAGCATATTAAAAAGCAGAGACATCACTTTGTTGAAAAACATCCATCTAGTCAAAGCTGTGGTTTTTCCAGTAGTCATGTATGGATGTGAGAGTTGGACCACAAAAAAGGCTGAGCACCAAAAAATTTATGCTTTTGAGCTGTGGTGTTGGAGAGGACTCTCGAGAGTCCCTTGGACTGCAAGGAGATCCAGCCAGTCCATCCTAAAGGAGATCAGTCCTGAATATTCATTGGAAGGACTGATGGTGAAGCTGAAGCTCTACTACTTTGGCCACGTGATGCAAAGAACTGACTCATTGGGAAAGACCCTGATGCTGGGAAAGATTTAGGGCAGGAGGAGAAGGGGACGACAGAGGATAAGATGGGATGAGATCACCAACCGAATGGACTTGAGTTTGAGCAAGCTCCAGGAGTTGGTGATGGACAGAAAAGCCTGACGTGCTGCAGTCCATGGGGTTGCAAAGAGTTGAACACCACTGAGGATCTGAAACTGACTAATGCAGCTCACTTTCTCCCTGGGGAAAGTTCCCTGGTGAGCTTGTTCCTTATATGGGGTGAGGGTAGGGGTGTGTCCAGGTGTTGGGCCGGCCGGTGGTTGAGGTGATTTGTCCTTTGGTGATGTTGAGTGCAGGGGGCATCTGTGCTCTGCTTTTGCTCTTGACCCCCTGTTTTTGCTTCTGACTATTCAGAAGTGGCAGTTGGATTTTTTTTTTTTTTGGTCTTCTGGTAACTTTTGTTCAGAATTTGGCCCAATTGTGCAGGTATGTGGTTATTTTTGGCCCTATGTATTTTTTTTTTTTTTGTATTTTGTTGCTGGAGGAGAGGTGTGTCCAGGTGCAAGTATGGCAGCAAAGGGACCCAGGTCCCAGCCTGTCTTAGGAGGAAGCAAGAAAGGCCCTTCTAAACAGCCATGGGGCTCCACTGCCTTTTATCCCTCTTTGCTGCGCACATCACATCCCCAAAGGGGCTATTTGGGTCCTAGAATGAAGAAGACAGACCTGTGACTGTGAAGTATGAGTGAGGGATACGTTGACTGTTGTCAGCCACACTCATCTGAATCTGATTACTACTGCAACACAACACAGGAAGTTAACTTCTTTTTTAACCACAGATCAGAGTTGGGTTAATCTTGTTCCCCAGTTTATGACACATTGTCACCATTGGTCCAAGTCCCTCTTGTATTTTATCTTATCCACATGTCCTATTTATCCACCTATCTACCCATCCACCACCCATCTGCTCCCCCAGCTCCTGTCTTCCAGTTTGAGTACTATCTTCTAGTATCTTCCATCAGGTAGCACCTTAAAAAGTTATGGTGGGCATATAAAGAAAAAGTGAATTTTTTTTATGAATTCAAGTTCAAATTAAGGGAATCAATTCACTCATTGTTGATGTAAGCCACTAAGCAATGCTTAAAGGGAAAGTAATGCATTAAAAGATTGTATAAGAAAACAAGAACGGTCTCAAATCAGAACTAGAAAAAAAAGAGCAAACTAAAGCCAAAGTAAGCAGAAAAAAGAGGGGAAAATAAAAGAGCAGAATCAATGAAATATAAAGCCAAAAATAAGGAAAAGAAATTAGAAAGTAGTTTCTGGAAATGACCAAAAACTGACAAACCTCTAGCCAAACTGATAAAGAAAAGAAAAAAAATGCAGCAAAGGCTGGGTGGTGGCAGTCTTGGAAGTCCTGCTCACAGGCAGACCTGAGGCCGTGGTGCCCCCTTGGTAGACGGGATCAGAGTGCTGGGCTCCGGGTCCCAAGGGACGGAGACACCCAGCAGCGCCACGCAGCTGGCCTTCATGTGTCAGTGCTGCAGCCAGCCTCTGAAACTGGACACGAGCCTCAAGGTCCTGGACCGTGTCACCATCCAGGGGCTCACCGCTCCATTACTTGCCACAGCCCAGCTGAAACCAGCAGAGACCCAGGAGGAAGAGGCTAACTCAGGAGAGGAGCCATTTATTGAAACTCGCCAGGATGGTGTCTCTCGCAGATTCATCCCCCCAGCTAGGATGATGTCCACAGAAAGTGCCAACAGCTTCACTCTGATTGGGGAAGCATCTGATGGCAACACCATGGAGAACCTCAGCCGAAGACTGAAGGTCACTGGGGACCTTTTTGACATCATGTCAGGCCAGACAGATGTGGATCACCCCCTGTGTGAGGAATGCACAGACACTCTCTTAGATCAGCTGGACACTCAGCTCAATGTCACTGAAAATGAGTGTCAGAACTACAAACGCTGTTTGGAGATCTTAGAGCAAATGAATGAAGATGACAGCGAACAGCTTGGGTTGGAGCTACAGGAGCTGCTATTAGAGGAGGAGAGGCTGATCCAAGAGCTGGAAGACGTGGAAAAAGATATCCAAGACCGGAAGATAGTGGTGGAAAATCTCAAGAAGGTCCAGGTTGGGGCTGAGAGATTGGATCAGGAGGAAGCTCAGTATCAAAGGGAATACAATGAATTTAAAAGACAACAGCTAGAACTGGATGATGAGCTGAAGAGTGTAGAAAACCAGATGCGTTATGCCCAGATGCAGCTGGACAAGTTGAAGAAAACTAATGTCTTTAATGCAACCTTCCACATTTGGCATAGTGGACAGTTTGGTACAATCAATAACTTTAGACTGGGTCGGCTGCCCAGTGTTCCTGTGGAATGGAATGACCTTAATGATGCTTGGGGCCAGACAGTGTTGCTGCTCCATGCCCTGGGCAATAAGATGGGTCTGAAATTTCAGAGGTATCGACTTGTTCCCTGTGGAAACCATTCATATCTGGAGTCTCTGACAGACAAATCTAAGGTCAGTATTCCCCAGTGCTGAATGAACCTAAAGTAGGACCAAAGTGAGCAGAATGGAAGGCACGGTAAGAATGGAAGCAAAACTAATACGCATGGTGGAAAAGCTGAAAACAGAGTAAAATCCCATGACACTGATGGGCAGGATAGATCCAACACTGCAAGCAAGAAAGTGTGACCACCTGATCCCTGGAGAAAAATGCTGACTTTGATGGTGTGGGGGATTTTCTTGGTGCAGAGCTCAAGCCTGCTGTCCAGTTTCAGGGAAGTTTTCCCTTATGCCCTTGAAAAGATACAGGAATGCTTTCTTTGATTAAATTTTGTAGGAGCCCAGAGACAGATGGGCAGCTTACTTAAGAGAGTAAGCCTGAGCTGCTTCCATCACCGAAAAACAAAGCATTTCTTTTCTTCTGCCTCCCTCCCCTCCCCATGAGTGAGGGCTGCCTAGGAAACGGTGAAGAGAACTGCCCCCTCACTTACCCTCTGCTCCAGGCTTCTCACCTGTGTGGGTGTGTGTCCTGTCCCTGCGCTCCACAATGACAATGAGGCTCTTGGGACAGCCTTCCTGATATTGGGCTTTCAAGCAAATCCAAAATGCACTACTGTTCCTCGCCAAGAGTTAATAGATAAAATGACGTGAATGGTCCCATGATCAAGTCCCTGCACATTTGCCTGAACTGACTTAACTCAGATCTCAGTTACTAAAGAGTCCTGCTGTGCTCACCTGCAGGATGGCTGTGGAGTGAGGCAAACTGGAGACACAGGGGGCTGCAGCGGCGCCTGTCCCGTCCAAACCCAGTTTACCTCCGAGGACAGTGGACAGAAGCACTCAGGTTCATGCTGACGCATCTTAAGTGGGGTCTTGCTTGGGTGTTCTCACAGTTTTATAACTAATGACTGTCCTTTTTCCTTAGGAGTTCGTTTGCCTTAAAGGCTTTCAATTTTGCTTTGTTTTCAAAGATACTATGCTATTAAACAGCATATGTTTACAATACCAAAAGAGAAAAAAATCCACAAAAGCCACTTTATTTTAAAATATAACAGACAGTTTCCAGAACTATGACATGCCGTGTATAGCATCTGGTCTTTGTCACAGTTTTGACTCTTAACCCCATGCCTTCCTTTCCCTTTGTCTCCTCAAAACAAATAATTTAAGTTTGCTTTTTTTTTTAAACTGAGTTGAATTGAGATTGATGTGTTTTCACTGGAGTTTGTCTCTCTCAGCTTCCTGTACTTGGAACATGAACTAGAAACTTTTGTCTCCACTGAGAGGACAAAAAGTGTGAGTTGCACAGTTGGATAACGTGAGAAAATGACACAGGCTTTGGTCACCATGTGATGTGATCAGAAGCTTGAAATTTAACACTTCTCACTTGGTTCCAGTACTAAATGCCTGGTCTGCTCTGTGTTAAGAGATATGAAATGGTGTTTAATACTGTTTAAGACCTTGTTGGGAGATTTAATGATTTGTAATAAAAGATCGACTGCAGTATGATAACTGCCCAGAAAAAAAAATGCAGATTATCAATATTAGGAATGAAAGAGGGAATTTCACTACAGATCCTACAGACATTAAAAAAACTTAAAAAAATTTTAAACCTTTTACTCTCAGCTTTTTGAGATATATTTTACATACAATAAAAATCACAGCTTTGAAGGGAATATTGTGGACAACTTTATGCCAACAAATCTGAAAATTTTATTGTAATAGGCAAAAGACACGAATTACTAATGCTTATTCAAGAAAATTACATAACCTGAATAGCCCGACAACTGCTTTTAAAAATTGAACTTACAGTTAAAATCATCCCAGAAAGAAAACTTTAACCCCACATGGCTTCACAAGTGAATTCTACCAAACACTGAAGGAGGAAATAATACCAGTTCTACACAGATTCTTCAGAACAGAGAAGGTAAGGGAGTACTTCCCAACTCGTTTAGTGAAGTTAGCATCACTGTGACACTAGAAAGGACAAAATATTACAAGGAAGCTAAAAATAATATCCCTCACTAGCCCAGCCACAAAAATCTTCAACAAAATAATAGTAAATTATGTGAGCCCAGTATGAAAAGGATGGAACCATTATGACTGCTGAGAAAGGCAGTCTTTTGACCTCTGCTTGGTTGCATAAGAGTGGGCCTCAGGAGCATCTCCTCACCAAGAAGTAAAGAGTTTCAGACTGTACTTTGCTTATTGCTTTGGAATATTTTTCCCTCTTTCAGGCTCACAGTATGTTCCTTTTTTCTGCTTAACAGTGTGTGCCATGGGCCCCTAACCAATCCCATATCTGTTTCACTTTGGGGGAGACGGGGTCCTCCTGCTGCCGCACAAGTGGTGTGCATGCTGCTCTGGGCCACATCTCAACTACTGGGAAGGACCCGCTGGCCATGGGAGCTTCAACACTAGTGAAGCTGTCATTTTGCACTGTCACGTCCCTGTGTGAGTAAAGCTTGTCCATCCACTGCTTGACTATTTTGTGTTTTCCCTGGTGATGCCTAAACCAAGATGTAGTGAGCAGACGTATTTGTATTCCTGATAATAGGTACCAGATGCTACTTGCGTGAGAATAACCAAGTGAAATTTAGCTCAGGAATACAATGAATGTAATTCACCATACTAACAGACTGAAAAGGAAAAACCATATAATAATCTCAGCAAATACAACAGCAGCAACAACAAAAACTTGAGAAAACTCATCACTTGTTCGTGATTTAAAAAAAAAAAAACACACAACTCTCAGATAGCTAGAAATGGATTTCAACCCAGTGAAAACTTTCTCCTCAAAAGCTAGAGCGTACATTATACTTAAGGATGAAAGATCAAAATGATTTCACACTGAAATCAGGAACAATAGGGACTTTCCTGGCTGTCTAGTGATTAGGACCCCAAGCTGCCACTGGTCAGAGAACTAAGATCCCACATGCCATGGTGCAGCTAAAAAATTCAGGAATAAGGCAAGGATTGTTACTCCTGTAACTTTATTTGCTACTATGCATGAGGGTCTATCCCATACAATAAAGTAAGAAATAGGAATAAAAGGCATGCAGGTGGGGAAGAAAGCATTAAAATTGTTTCTACTTACCTGTGATATGATTGTTTATATAGAAAATGTTAAGAAATCTATAAAATAGCTGCTAGCATAAGTCAATTTAGCAAGGTTGCGGGTTTAAAAGGCAACTTAAAAATCAAACATATTTCCATATCCTTGTAACAAAAAATTGGACAACAAAAGTTTATTTAAAGTAATAATTAAAGAAGGATTAAATATATAAAATACTAAAAGGTAAATTTAACAAAATGTGTGCAAGTCCTTTATACTGAAAACTATAAAATATTGAGAGAAATTAATGAAGATCTAAGTAAATTAGAGATAAACTGTGTTCATGGAGCAGAAGATTCAATATTGCTAATATATCAGTTATGCTCAAATTAATCTACAGGTTCAGTACGATTCCAATCAAAATCATATGGTCAACATTACTAAGAAGACTGCTGATAGCACCAAGATTTGGTGAAGGGATGGCGTGTAGGGAACTTTCATTCATAGCTCAGGGGAATGAAGGATGGTATAGCCACTGTGGAAGACAACTGGTCAGCTTCTTATAAAATTAAATATAAACTTAAGACAAACCTAGAAATTCCACTCCAAGAAAAATTAAAACACACCTTCACAAAAGACTTGGGCATGAATGTTAATTCATAATAACTCCATATGGACAAACTAAAGTCAATCATTTTATGAATGATAAACAAATTTTGGTGGGATTTTTATTAGCAATAAAAACAAAGCATTGTCAAGTGAAAGAAACCAAACATGAAAGACAATATACTTTATGATGGCAAGTATCTGAAATTTTATGCCAAAACTATAGCAAGAGAAAGCAGATGAGCAGTTCTGTAGGGCCTTGAGTGGAGCAGAGCATTGCTGAAAAGGGGAACTTTGGGGGGTGTTTCGGAGAAGACAATGGCACCCCACTCCAGTACTCTTGCCTGGAAAATCCCGTGGACGGAGGAGCCTGGTGGGCTGCAGTCCATGGGGTCGCGAAGAGTCGGACATGACTGAGTGACTTCACTTTCACTTTTCACTTTTATGCATTGGAGAAGGAAATGGTAACCCACTCCAGTGTTCTTGCCTGGAGAATCCCAGGGATGGGGTCGCACAGAGTTGGACACGACTGAAGTGACTTAGCAGGGCGGTGTTTGGACTATACCTGTGTTGTGCTGTGGTGGAGACTCATACCAATGTGTACAGTTGTCTAAAGTCATAGAGTCAAACACTTAAAATCAGTGATTGTTATTGCACATAAATTGTATCTCAATAAAAATGGGCACAAAAAGCTAAGCATATATATTATATTACTCATGATCAAATAAAATCCACACTCAAGTGCATCAGTGCACAAGCATAAGAAAGTTCACAACAACTTTATTCATAATATCCCAAACTAGAAACAATCAAATGCTCATCATCAGTAATGTGGATTAACTGTGGCACATTCACACAATGGCTTAGTACCAGCTTTGACAGAGATAAACTATAGACACAACAACAGACATCAAGTTGGATAAAAGAAACAAGATGTGCAACAATCAGGCTCTATGATTCCACTTGTATAATAAAAAAAAAGGGCAAACCCAAACTAAAGTGTTCAGGGATGTATACTTAGGTGATTAAAGTACAAATAAACACAAGGAAGCAGTTCAGTGAAGTCAGCAGGACCTTTGGGGAAGGTGAGGTGAGCTGCATCCTTGAGTCTGCAGTGTTCTGTTTCCTGATTTGGTGGCAAGGACACAGATGCTCATTTATGTCATTAAACTGTTACATGCATGTTTTATGGGTTTTTCTGTGGCTCTATTATATTTTATAAGACAAAAACTTACAAAATAATAAGGTACATTCTGTGACTCCAAGAATTCACAGGCTCTGATTTTGTGAGACTGAGTTCTTCAGATTAACCATCACCTGTGCAGAGATGGCTGCACTTATACACGAAGATCTATACTGATCATTCCCTAAAAAGGGGGGCTTAGAATCAATAATGAAAGAAAAATTTGAGCACTTAGCCACTTAAAAAGATAAAGGATGAAACGGTGGAAGGTAAAATGAAAAACAAATTAGAAAAAATAATTAGAATCAGCCAAATTAATTGAAGTAAACACTGTAGGAAATTGGATTTTAAATGCTAATAAATATGTAAATATTAAAATGCAATTTAACGTTAATTGGGAAAACATTCTTCACTTGACACATGATTACTGCTATAATAAAAAACACACAGTGTTTTAAAAACATTGTCCTCTCTGGTTCTGTTTTTAGAATGTGACAGTGATGTGTCCCACACAGAGGCGCCACAAGGGTCCCTGTGAATTCGCTTGGCATGTGGTAGGCTTTGTGATTCTTAAAATCACTCCTTGCCACCCAGCCCTCCCCACATAGAGTCATTTCTCAAGAGGGCGCTACTTCTTTCTGGCATGAGCTCCCTGCCTCAGAGCTCACCACGGCCCTCAAGTTGCCCCCTGGACCCAGCTGTGCCGGGGGCTGGGGGAGGGGGACAAGCTTCACAGGTGAGCCTGTTGGGGGCTGGGGGAGAGGACTCTGCCAGAAAGCAGGGGAGGGCCTCTCTGGTGGCTCAGGGGTAAAGAATCCACCTGCCAGTGCAGGGGACATGGGTTCGAGTCCTAGTCTGGGAAGATCCTACACACCTCGGGACAACACAGCCCATGAGCCACATCTACCAAGCCTGAGCCTCAACTGTTGAAGCCCGTGAGCCCTAGGGCCCATGCTCTGCAACCTGAAAACCATGACAGTGAGAAGCCCAAACACTACAACTAGAGAGTAGGCCCCACTTGCCACAACTGGAGAAAGCCCACGAGCAGCAACAAAGACCCAGCACAGCCATTTAAAAAAAAGCAGTGGAATTAACTTTCAAACTATGCACGGTTGCAGAGGTGAGAGTGGGGCGGTTACAGGGTCCCTGGGAGCTCTGTGTGGCAGGGACTGTAGACTGCTGTCCCTTCCTCCTGCAGACACAGAAGGGAGACAGACACACTCATCAAGATAGCTGACCATTGTCCGCGTTCCGGTGGAGCAGCCAAAAAAGAGATGGCTGGCCACCTGCCGGGTGCCAGGTGGTGGGGCAGGAGCCCAAGAGTGTGTTCGACGAGCACCGTGATGGGGCAGGACCCTCCACCTGCCGCGACCCCAACATGCTTCCAGCCCCCAGCCCAGTCTTCTCACCGCAGTGCGTCTAGAACACCCCACAGTGCCCGGGCCTTTCTAAGGTCTCCTCACCCTCTGGACCAAGTCCGAACCTGCACAGCTCAAGGCCCTTCATGACAGGACACCTGCTGGTCACTCTGCCTGCAGGGCTCCACATGCTCTGCTTCTGGCTCCTGGCTAGAGTGCCTTCCCTCACTGCAGCAGGGAGATGGGTCCTCGCCGTCCTCGGGACCTGGTCTGTGTCACCTGGCCCTTTCTCCTTGTGAGCAAAACTGGACTGACATTAGGTGCTGTCACAGGACAGAGCAACCCCAGGTTGGTGGCAGTCCACCCATTCATTCATCTGCTCACTTGTCCATTCCACACGGCCAGGACGGGGCCTGATGGGGAGTCCTGATGGGGAGGGGGTGGGGACAAGCTGGACATGGATCCTGCTTGCACTGAGCCTCCAATATGGTTGGGAAGACAGACATTTAGACAGCTGGGAGATCCTGCCTGTTATGGGAGACCTGTGGCCAAGAGCTGAGGAGCAGGGAGGCAGTGGGGTGCAGGGAGGTGGGGGTGTAGGGAGGAGGGGTGCAGGAGGGAGGGGTGCAGGGGGGTGGGGACTAGGGAGGTGGGCAGAGTCTGGGTTTGGGGTGGAAAACCTCTGTGAGGATAGCAGAGCCACCTGCCTCAGGGTTCATTGCCAGGACTAAACAGGAAAGTCTTTGGAAGCACTCTTTACACTGTTGAAAGGACAGTGGGCACCCAACAGAAGTTAGGGCAATAAAGGGAGCTGAAGCTAAGGTCTAAGAAAGGGGAGAGCAGAAGCTAGGTGAGGATGTGGCCCGGGGAACATAAAGCAGAAAAGGGAACAGCATATGCCAAGGGCTGGCTTTGGTAAGAGGCACCACTCATTCAAGGAACAGAGCAGTGGTCAGGGGTTGAGTGAACAGCTGGCAGAAGCAGGCTCTGGAGGAGAGAGGAGGTAAAATCCTGGAGAAATCCTAAACCAGGAGCCTGCCTGCCTCGGACTTGAGAGGCTGCTGCATAGCCGCCCGCAAGGCGCCCAGGCCGACTCAGGCCGCCATCCAGGCCGGGCTCAGGACCAGCCAAGGCAGCTCACTTCTTCCCGCAAAGCCTCATCAATCTGGCTGCCGCAGCATCGCATAGGGAATGGAGAAGCCTCTCCATCCTCCACGGAGGTGGCTGCAAACCTCGTCTCCCTGGAAACAGAAATAATCATTGGAAGTCAGCTCATGGCAACTCCGCTCACATGCGTGGGTGCCACGATTATTATACAAGCTGATTTACACACTGTCCTTTAAAACCCTAACCCCATAAATGTGAAAGAAGGCTCACTGTCCCTACTTTTCTGGCAAGTCGTCATGCATGAGGAGAGGACTGAACGAGGAGGTTCAGCTGATGCTCTAAAATCTGCACTCCCTGCTAAAAATACAGCGAAACCTTCTCCTTCTCCGCGCAGCCACCGCCGTTCACGTCCGTCCCACGCAAATGTCCAGAGAGACGCACGAAAGGCCTTCACATGTATTCACTGAGCAGATGGTTTCCGTGAAAAGTGGGCGAGGGTCCCCTTGCGCGGGCTGCCTGGCGAATGTGGGTGAGGCTTCCTCCAGACGCGAGGGCCCTCTGGGGGCTGGTGCCCCTGCTCACCGGGCACCGCCGGACACTGTGCAGGAGAGGGCCCGACGCTGTGAGATCTGCGGGATGCCTCCACCGGCCAGAACTTGCCGAGCGGGCGGCAGGAACTGGGGTATGTTCTCAAAGCACCCCTGCATCTCCCCCGGCCCCTCCTCCCGCATCACGTTCCCTAGCTGCTGCACCGCCCGCTTCCCCGGGATCCAGCGCGAAGTTATTTAACGCTGTAATTAGCCGGCAGGGTGAGTCATCGGTCCCCGGGCCTCGCTGCAGCAGCGGCAGAGCCGGTGTGGAAAGAACCGAGGGCGCTCGGCGCGGTGGGACCTCAGAGGGCTTGTCGGAGACGCGCTCCCAGGCCTCGTTTCAGCAGGCTGGGTGCCCGAGAGGCCCGGGCAAGGCCATCTCCACGTTCTGCTCGGCCCCACGACTTCCTCTCCCACCGAGAGCGCCGCGTCTGTCGGAAGGAGGCGATTTACCCTCCCCCCGCGCCGCACCCCCAGTCTCCCGCTTTGCTCTCAGGCTGTGAACCGCCTTCCGATGAATTAACTCACTCGCACCCGCATTTGCGGGGAAGTCCCGCATGATCCTTGAGAAAGGCTCGGACGAGACTCCTCCAGGGCTCCCCGAGGCCTCATCCCCCGCCCCCCGCACTGGGGCCCGCGCTCCCCGGAGGCGCCCGAGGGTCCCGGCACCCTAGCGCCTCCTCCGAGCCCTCCCCTCCGCCCGGCAGCCGGACTCCCGCCCTCCTCCCGCGAGTAGTCGGCTCACCCCTTCCCGGGCTCCTCTCTTCCCTTCCCTCCCTCCCGCCGCCCCCGCACACAAACCCCTGCTCCGGGGGGGGTCTTCCTTCTTCCCCTCGCCCCGGACTCGCCCCACCCCGCCCACACTCAGGCTTTCCCCGTAGCCCTCAGCACGAGGGTCCTCTCTTCTCGCGCTCCAGGCCAACTTCCTCAGGCTTCCTGATCTCTGACAGGCGGGGGGCGAGGAGTGAGACCCCAGCCCCTTGGCCCGCGCAGCGCGCCCACTGGGGCCCGAGAGGTGGGAGGCGCTGGGGGTGGGGCCTGGGGGCGTCAGGGGCGGGCGCCCAGGGGTGGGGAGCGGCGTGCCCAGAGAGGCCGGGGCGCTACTCGGGGGAAGAAGGCGGAGAGACGCGGCGCGGGGGGCTTCTCCTTGGGGGGGTGGCCGAGGGGTGTCCTAGGGGCTCCGCGGGTTGGGGGGGCGGGGGAGGGCGGTGCCTGGGCCGGGCGCGCAGGGCCGCGGGCGGTGGGGGGAGCTGAGCGTCCTGGGAGGGGCGCCGCGGGCTGGGGAGGGGGCGCGCGCGCCCTGCGGTCCTCCGCGCCGCATCGGTTCCCTGCGCGGGGCCGCGGCGGCCGCGGCGGGAGGCGGAGGATGCGGGCTCCGACTGCGGCGGCGGCGGCGGCGGCGACGCGGGCCCGGGAGGACGCGGGAGGATGAGGAGGAGGCCGGCGGTCCGGCCGCGCGGCGCCGGGAGGAGGCGCAGGCGGCGGGGGCGGCGGCGGGCGGCGGCGGGCGCGCGGGGTGCGGGCCGGCTCGGGCGCGGAGGATGAAGTGGAGCGTCCGCGGGGCCTGCGCCGCGCTCTCCTCCTGCCTCCTGCTCGCCTGCGCGCTCAGCGCCGCCGCCGTCGGCCTCAAGTGCTTCTCGCTGGGCTCAGAGCTGCGCGGGGAGCCGTTCCGGCTGGGGGCGGCCGCCGGCGCCTTCTATTCGGGGCTGCTGCTGGCCGCCGGCCTCTCGCTGCTCGGCGCCGCCCTGCTCTGCTGCGGGCCCCGGGACGCGCCCCTCGCGGGGCCGGGCCCGGGCCCGGGGCTCGGGGTCGCTGCCGGCCCCGCGGGGGCTGCGGAGGCCACGCCGGGGGACCCGGGGGGCGCCGCCGGGCCCTCGGGGCCGGTGAGCAGCCAGAACCTGCTCCTGCTCGGCGTCCTCGTCTTCATGCTCGGGGTCCTCAGCGCCTTCGCGGGCGCCGTGATCGACGGCGACACCGTGTCCCTGGTGGAGCGCAAGTATTCCCACTACTGCCTGCCGCCGCGCGCGCCGGCCGCGGCCGCCGGCCCGGCCCCGGGCCCTGCGGCCGCCGGCCCCGGCCCAGCCCCCGGCGCGGCGCGCGCCCGCGGCACCCTGGACAGCGCCACCTCCGCCAAGTGCCGCCAGCTGAAGGACTACCAGCGCGGCCTGGTGCTCTCCACCGTCTTCAACTCGCTCGAGTGCCTCCTAGGCCTGCTCAGCCTCCTGCTGGTCAAGAACTACAAGTCGTCGCAGGCCCGGCGCGGCCGGCGCGGCCGGCGGAAGGGAGGCCGGGCCCTGGCGCGGCCCCGCGGCGGCCCGGGGCTCCGCGCGCAGCCGCCCGCCTCCCGGGCGCGGCGGGGCCGGCGGGGCCGGCGGGGGAGGAGGCTGCAGCCGCGGCCCAGCGAGGCTTCCATCCTGTCTCCGGAGGAGTCGGACTTCGCCGCCCCGGGGGACTGCGCGGGCTTCGCGACGCACCACGCGGTCTCCTACATCAACGTGGGCGTCTTCCACGCGTTTGACGAAGCGGGCGTGGAGGTGTGCTGTGGGGGGCACCCGTCTGTGGAGCTGCCGGGGTACGCGCCCTCGGACCCCGACCTTAACGCCTCCTACCCCTACTGCTGCCGCCCGCCTTGCGAGGCGGCGCGCCCCTGGGAGCCGGGCCGGGCCTGCTGAGCCCCTGGGCCTGTGCGGACGACCGTGCCCGTCTCCCTGCCCTGCCGCGGCGGCGAGGGAGGTGGGGAGTTGGCGGGGCGCAAAGCCAAGCCCCTGCGTGGCGCCGCAGCTTCAGGGGCGGTCTGGCCCAGCGCCTCTGGGGGCTCCCCGCTGCGAGACTGGTCCTCCAGTACTATTATTTCTGTGTTTGGGAGGTTTCTCTTCTTTTCTGTGTCTGCTCGTATCCGGACTCCATTTTAAAGTTTACAATAAATGTTTTGGGGTTGGCTCGCCCCCATCGCACTTCTCTTTGGCAAGTCCGTTCCCTGGGCGCCCCCGAGGCCCAGGCCCGGGTGAAACCTCACCCAGCGAGCGGAAAGAACGCTGACTGAGAGGACAGAAAGACGGAGCGGCTGATACTGTCAGAGTGGAAGACGTGAAGAAGCACCCACAGCAACACTTTGTACACGGATGTGCCTGCTTTTGTTGATAACTTTCTTACTGTAAAGCTCTCCATAAACAGTGAAAATGTTTGGTAAATTTATTGCAATTTAAAATTGGTGAGTTCCTTTATTAAATTAATTGCTATGTTACTGGAGATATTCATCAAATTGGGGTTAGAGAATGTCGACACACAAATCACTTTCGGGGGAAAATGAATTTGGTCTGACCGATGTGAGTTTGAACAGTTGTATTATGCTAGCTGGTTGGCTAAATCCAACCTCTTTCTGAGGCTAAGTTTCTGTGTGTATATCAGGTCCCATACATTTCTTTTTCTGGAAACTGGAGATTGGGTTTTTATGGCAAAAGTGAGCTTATTTTGGTTAATACATATGAACAATCCAATCCTATTTTGGAAATCACAGTCATAGTTTTTCTGGCAAAGATTATTATCCTGTTGGTTAATTCAGTAATCTGGTAATTTTGGATATTATAGCATTTCATTTGAAATATACCCCTTAAATAGCCTTAATTGATGTGAAGGTCATACTTTTAAATCATTAGGATACACATGTGTGTGCCTATTTAAACACAACGTGAAACGTGTTCTGAATGATGGTGAAATGTGTTTCCGCCCAGTCCTTTGGTTCTGACTGGGATCCAGGTAAGCTCTGGATCTTGGGGAAAGGTGATCCAACTACCATGTGCTGGAATTGTGGTGCCAGGCAGGTGTGCTGCTAATTCTGAATGTGCTGTAAGCAGAGTCCCACTTTGACCCAAATGGTGTGACCCTCCTGCAAAAGGAGTTGAGGATACACCCACAGGACACTTGAGGTGAGAAAAGCTAAGGGAATAATGTGTAATCTCTCTAGAGTGTATAGGGGTCCACTTCTAATCGTGGAAAAGCAGCCAGACTTGGTGTTGGACATGTGGTTTCCAGGTACGGGCTCTAGGATGAGACCAGCTGACCCAACCAAAGCCAGAGTTTCTCTGTACCTAGGTGACTGAGTCCAGCACCTAACCATGACCAGCAAGGCCACCCAGCTGCAGCAGAGGCTGCTAGAGAGGAGAGGCCCTCTATCCCCGCAGAGAAGCGGAGACCTACCGGCATTCAGTGGAGGTGGCAAAGTTGTTATGCTGATACTTGGACAGTTACTTAGAAACTTGGGGATTCTGATCTAAGGGGCCTTAGGCAGTGTCTTCTCCTTGTTACGTTGATGCCATCTGAGAAAAATGAATCATTCCGGGTTAATCTCCCAGGTCCTCATACCCAGACCTCTTCAGATAGTGGTCCATACTAGGCTTTGAGATTCAGTGAGGCTGACAGCCCAGCCCAACTAGTTCCCCTGCTGGTCCTGACCACCACCCCCACCCCCACCGCCCCCACACCACCAGTCCACTGGCCATCAACCTAAGCAGAAAAAGTTATAAGTGGCAGCAAAAGAGACCTTTGATAAAGCTTTCCCTCATCTACCTAGATCAAATCAATAAGGCAGGGCTGCTCTCCACTCATGGAGCACAGACCTCAGGGGTACCTGCAAGGCTGACTTCCCAGAACCACATGTGGAGGCAGCCAAGCCAGGGTGCGCCCAGTAAGTGGGCACACGGTGAGCTCTTGTGGAAGGCTGCTGTGCAGGGACCACTGGAACAGAGCAAACTCTTGAGCAGCGCAGGCATCTGATGTCAGACCTTCCTGTATCCTTCCTGTTTCCTGAGGTTCTGTCTTACACAGTTTGTCATTCAAACATGCAGGCAAAATCAATGACCTCTCTCAAGTTTCAGATTTTTCTTGGGATGGGACAGAAGGCAGAATGGGATGGGGCAACAGAGGGCATCTGGGGGCACAGAGGCTTTCCCCTGTCAAATGTACGTGTGACCAAGAAGCTAGATGGGATTTTAAAACATGTGTTTCTAACTCCAGAATATGGTTAAGTCCACTTTATAGAGGCCTATATAATGATATGGGATACCAGGGTTTTATTTTTTAAAGTTTGCTAAAGAAATAAAATCTCCAATATCCCTTCACTCAAATTGTTCTGAAGATCAACACTCAGGGAGGCAGTGGAGAGTCACCACCTCACTTACTTCTAACTGCTTGTGATGGCTC